TTTTCCCACTGGCTATTAGATTAATTTACACATTTTTTAGTATCTAATTTTCTCTGACCTGTGCACATTTTTCTCCATATTCCACTCACCTAGTAAATTCTCATTAAGCTACTGTTAAAAACAAGAAGAGAGAGCTTAATGGTCAATTTATATTGACCATTAATATTTTATTCAACCCAAACCAAGTCAATTACCCAAGAAAACTGATAGAGAACATGAAAAATTACTTTTGATAAATATAATCAATAAAACCATAAATAGAGGTCCTTTATATGATTGCCATGCCAAATTCACATCATTGTAAAATGAGGTTCATTTAAGTAAAAACCTGGCACTATTTTCTTGCGTGTTCTCATAGGGTTCCGTACCCCATATGCAGATTCCAGGGCCTAACTTGAAAGTTGCGGGTTGAAGACTAATGGTCAGAGGTACTGCAGCAGAAGCAGAGACAAACTTCTGTCTTTGGAGCTTGCACAATTTTTGTAAGAATAAAACTGAAATGTTAAACATTTGAACTCATAGCAATGAGAAAAGAAAAGACACAGTTTACTGAACTCTTGTTGAGTATGTGTGGGAGTCAGCTGTGCATGGTGGTGGTTCGCTTAGTTCTTTGTGTGGATTATTTGTGTGATGCTCATAATATTGGTTGTATTATTTCAAGATCCTGTACCAGTCAAGAAACCTTAAGTATACAGGTAACCATCATTATTTCTGTGGTCCTGCATATAATCACAGAAATCATGTATGAATCCATGTCAAAAGTGAAGCACTGTTAAAATATCTCCTTCCAACTGGAATGTCTAAATTATTGGGTTAATTATGATCACTTTCGTCTTATGCTCATTGGCATAAATATTTCATATCTGTTTTAGGGCTCTGTTTCTGTATTTGTTGTTGTTTTTGTGTGTGAGAGAATCCACTTATTTTTATTTTTAATTTTTGCAGTGCTGGGAATTGAACCCAAATCAGCTCAGTGAGTTATGGATGTGAAGAAGCCCTTCTGTTTACTGGTCCCTCATAGTTCAAGGGCATGGTCATAGGTGTCTAGATAAAAGACATGAAATCTTTGTGAATCATGAACTGAATCTTTGTTGCCCGACTTTTGACTCCTGCTCTGTTTTAATACGTGAACAAGTTTGAACTGAGTTGATTTGAATTACACCATGGTGCAAACCAAGTTGCTGTGATTTCCAAGTTAGCAAGCAGTAAACACTTGTGGGATCTAATAGCAGGATTTCTGCTTAGAAATCTCAGCCTGTGTGTTAGGGGCCAATGACTTTGGTCACTAAGTATTTTCTTTCTTTGCATGGAATATATACATTCTGTTGGAAGAGGAAAATTGGTAAACGCTACGTAATTGTTACAGATCTGTGGGCAGACTTTCTGGATTACTAGTTTAGGTTTGGATTTAAATTTAGAAAGCCAATGAAGTAAAACACATCTAGCCACTAACAGAAAAATGAACTGTGACATAGCACAAGAGAAAACAGTCTTCAGAGTTGATGCGGCTTTAAATGTGTATAAAGTGTTTTTTAAATTAACCAGTTGCAAATTTGTGGTAGTTTAATAATGGAACTATGGCTTTTCTTCCAAGTTTTACCTGTAAGGTTCTTCAAGTGAGATGCAACTTTAGTCAATTCACGTTATTCTCAAATTCTATCTATGTATCTATGTATCTATCTATCTATCATCTATCTATCTATCCATCAGCTGGACTGAGGACTAAACCCAAGGCCTTTTCACTGAGCTACATCCCCAACCCCTTAAAAATTTTTTGAGATTGGGTCTTGAGACAGCCATCAAGTTGCCCACTCTAGGCTCAAATTTGAGATTCTCCTCCTCAGCATCCCAGAGTACTGGACTAGAGGCATGCACAACCACACTTGGGTTATATATTACTAATTATTAACAACCAACTTTATGTAGCATCTAAAAACCTAATCCAAACCTTGGAATTATTCATTTTTAGCTAATGTTTCCAGTTTTTTTCCTTTGGTTAATATGAAGAAGACATGACAGCTTTCCCTTGTGTTTAACTGTAATACAATATTACCATTTTGACATATTAAATTTGTATGTTAGATATTGTGGCTCTAAGACAAAAATTTTATTTGAGCTGCACACTTCCTCATTGTACAGTATTTAAAAATTTGTAGGTCTTTTCAAGGATTTATTTTAGAGTGTGGTGAAACACACCTAACCGTCCCCCTTCACTCTACCACCTACCTCGACGCTATTTGGGAAAAAGAACCAGGTGAGACCTTGGGCACCAGTGCGTGCTGCTGTTGCAGTTACCTTCGGATTCCTGGGCTGTGCCGTGGTGGACGTCCTGTTTCCCACGACATTTCCACTCCCATCAACATGACAAATCAGAGGTGAAAGTTAACAAGATAATTGTCCTTTGGGAAAAGTGGTAGAGCTATCCCGCCTCTCTCTGCCTCCCCCTCCCCCCAAAGATTTGGCTAATGGAGAAGATTTTTGTTTTAGACTGACATACCTCTATCATTGTGCAAAACACCCTATTTCATAGCTCTGGCCATCCACTCACACAGTCTGCTTACCAGGTTTCCTACGTGCAGTGAGGCATCTACCTGAATAAAGAGTAGATGATCTCACCTCTTCATCTGGGAAGAGGCGTGGACAGAACTTGGGCGAGTGTTACCAGGTGTTACCAGGTGGCAGAGAGCCATATTTGGTCATCAGTGAGAGGCCGTTGGTAACATGCTGGCAGTTGTGCTCAGGTGTTGCTAGGAATCACCCAGAAGGAGCCCTACTCGTGAGAATGGAGCAACATTGAACCACGTGACCTTCATCTTCCCCCCTGGTTTCTATCCACCAATGCTACCCCATTTATTTCAACCACTGACCCTGATGTGGCATCAAATAACAAACAGAAAGACCTTCTTTGGGCATCTCCTACTTCCAACTTCAAGAAACCATGAGAGTTCTTCCATGGGTGGTGGGCGGGCCACTGTTAGACCTCATTCTTTTTTTTGTTGTTTTTTGTTTGTTTATTGTGGTACTGGGGATAGAACTCTGGTCCTTGCGCTTGTGCAGCAGGCAGTGAAACCACTGAGCTAAATCCCCGGCTCATAGACCTCATTCTTTGCACTGTTTTGGGTATACTGAGCTATGGTACAAGTTGAGCCTTATGTACATAAGAGCTCAAACCCACCCAGCACTGATTTCTGTGCACAGAGCAATTGAAAGCAGGTGTTTACCCTCCACGTTCCTGGCATCACCCACATCTAGGGAGAATGTGAGTGCACCATCCCTACTGCTGAAAAGCCAAGACCACAGTGGTACCCAGGGTGTCTGGATCATTTCCAGTCATTACAGCGAAGGCTGAGAACTTAACCTCACTGAGCATGCGTATTTCAGGTGAATAGGGATTTAAAAGGACATGGTCAGGGGCAGGCAGGTATGGTAGTAACCATCTTTCATAAAGGTAAGAGGAGTCTTAGGGTAGGGTTAGGGAAGATTTAGGATTAGGGAAGATTTCTATTGTTCTTGTTACTGAGCTGGGGATGGAACCCATGGCTTTGTGCATGCTAGGCAAGGACTTTGGTGCTGAGTGCACCCCTAGTCCCTACGATGGAAATCTAGCCAGGTATTTTCTATAAGTCAAAAGGAGAGTAAGGCTGGGGTGAGGGCTGGGGCTGTCTTGGCCATTCTTCAGATAGGCAAAGCAGAGTCAAAGCACAGAACTGCTTTCTCTCTCTCTGAGCAGCAAACTTTTTAGGAACTTCAATTCAACAGCAGAAAAAAGCCATTATCTTCTGACTGCAGCTCATATCTTAGCCAAGACTGAAATGCTGCCCTAGACTCCTTTTCCCAAGGAAAAAGATGGATTTGATAAATAGTCCTTCACCTTGCTCATGCTTTTCCAGTGTCAAATCTCTAATATATCAAGGCCTTCCCACATTCACTAATGGTTGATTGATTCTGGGATCATTCAGAATATTATCAAACAAGATAATCTCCAGAACTCAGACTAGTTCATTGGTAGCGTAGGTCCACATCGATGTATAAAAGTCCACGTTCTTTCGCCTTGCCACTCATTGGCAAATCAGTACTGATAAAAGACTCTGCACATTGACTCTAAGAGCTGATGTTATTAAACGTACTCAATTTAGCCTTAGACTTTGTAGAGATGGGAAGTGTTTGGGGAATGGAGCTAGATGGGACAGAGCGGAGAGGAAGAGAAAGTAAAAATGATTAAGATGAGATGTGTCTGTGTATCAGTTCCTCAGGATGAATGTATAATATATCAAAGATATATACTAAAAAAAAAAACTAAACAAATCAAAAGGTTTAGACAACTCTGTGATTTATTACCAATAGTGCGTCGCAATTATACGAATGATACAACTTCCTTAGGGCCACTGATAATGTATTTACTTAGTACTTATAGTATTTGAAAAAAATTAAAGTGACTTGCTAGAAAATACTTAATGCATCTATTTCAAAAGAGCCTCTCAAATTGTATTTAACAGGTTCAGTAAATATTTATAATTATGGGGCTTTTTTCTGATGACGAGAATGGAAGCCAGCCTCCTGCATGCTGAACACTTGCTCTGGCACAGAGCCACACCCCAGCCCTATGATAATTTCTTCACCGCTTTCTTTGAGCTGAGATAGAATGTAAAGGTGTGTGAATGTTTGTGTGTGCTCAGTGGGGCTGCTCCAAGCAATCTCAAACCATAATGCATGGGTTTTATTCTTCTGGGAAAGTACCATTCAATGTCATTTTGCTGGGGGCAAACAAAACAAATTCATCAATTTTGTAAAAGATGCAAGGGAATTTTTGACAGCATAAAAATGTGAAACTTCCTTTCAGATGTCCCTGAAGCAGTCTTCATGCATCTTTTTAAATGTGCAGTTACTGGGAATCAAACCCAGAGCATTATGCATGCTAGCCAGGCAGGTGTTCCACCACTGGCCTACATCATGTGTCTCCAATGGAATGAAAATAAAATTTTTAAAATTTTTTCTGACAGCCTCTGTTCCCCAAGAAGAACTATGAGTGCTTGACCAGCTGTGAGTTCCTCAAGTACATCCTCCTGGTGAAGCAGGGGGATTGCCCAGCCCCTGAGAAAGCTAGTGGCTTTGCTGCCGCCTGCGTGGAGAGCTGTGAAGTTGACAGCGAGTGCTCGGGGGTGAAGAAGTGCTGCTCTAACGGGTGTGGACACACCTGCCAGGTGCCCAAGACTCTGTACAAAGGTGAGAGCAGACCTGAGGTTACAAAAGACCTTTACCTTCACCGAAGCTGATGTGTGCTTGGGCAAAGGGTGTTGTTCACATGTGGAAAAGCGACAAGAAAATACCAAATGTTAAGGAAGTTTATTTTGTGCCATGTACAATGTTAAAATATTCATGGGTCCCAGAGATTAGCCACAATAAGCTCAAGGTAGAGTAAATCAGACATAAATGTTTTAACATACGTGTACAATAGTAACAATCTAGGAACTTTATTTTGTGTGTATATATATATATATATATATATATATATATATATTTATTTTTTTTTTTTTTTTTTGCCTAGAAGACTAAATCAATTAAGTTCTGCTGGGTACATTAGAATAAAAAGATTTAACCCCTGGAAATGGGCTGGAGTGCAGGCACACTTGAAAAATGCACAGTACTCCTCGTACAGCTTTTCTGTTGGCAGAATCTGGGGGCTAAAGTGGCATTATAGAGATGTTAAATATTTTGATTCATATGTGGGGATTCTAAGCAGAGGAATTTCTTTCCCTCTTCCAAAAGATGAGGACTCAATTCAACACACATTTCTGCAAATATAATAGTTTACACTCAAAAGCAAATTCTAGAGTACTTAACTTCTTAAGGCTAAGTGCTTTTTGCCTTTTTCTTTCAGTGTGACTGAGTTCTTTCCTGCCCAGCTGATTCTGTTGTGCTATGTTTAGTTTTGGGTACTATCAAGATATACTCTGACTATAATATTTTGTCAACCTTTTGGCCTAATTTGAAGAATGAAGTACAGTCAATCAGTAAGCAAGTAAAAAAGGAGAAATAGATATGTCTTTTTCCTCACTTTTAAAATATTCATATGCCAAATTATATTATTTATAACTGCTGCTAGTTTTAAAAAATAAAATATGTGTAAAAGAGCATTCACTAACAATACTAGTTTTGAGTTACGTCTGGCTGTGTTTGGCAGTCTCTTACCCTCATAGTAATACACCTGTCCCAGAAATAATATACCTACCCTACCTTCCTCTAACTCTACTTCTGAAATACCTTCCTTTGAAATTGACAAAATCCATGCAATTTTCTTTTTTTTTTATAAACTCTTTCCTAAGATTCTTGGAAACCTAGGGTAAGTATCACTTCCTAAATTCAAACTAGTTACTGTTTTCCCCTGACTGAGTGGCATTTCTTTAATGCATTTAAAGTGTTATTATTTTTATACCTTGTAAATTCTATCAAATTACTTTCGCAAAATCTAAATCATTTATTTTCTAAAATGTCAGATATTATGAAAATTTTCCTATTATTTTAGATCACACTATTTATTATTAGATTTTACCATAAAAATAGGATGTCTTTATAAGCCCATTTGTAAATCACATGATGTTTTAAGAGGGCATTTTGAAAAAGGAATATAAATTAAAATATAGAGTTTTTATAAGAAGTGTTGGGAATTGGTATGAATTTCAAATAAACCTGTTTCACCAATAATAAGAAGAATATCTAGGAAGGGCTGAAATAAGTGATTAATTATACAAAGACACTTGCAATTCAAACCTGTGCTTAACTACATAAGATAGACTTGTAAAAAATGCTAAAGTCACTTTTCTAAGAAGACCTACCAAACTACCTCTTAACATCGATTTTTGTGGGAAGCAGGAATTCATGGGGAACTAACTACAAATGGGCCTGCCAAGTGTCATAATGGCATGGTGCAGCTAATCTGTTGGCATTTGAACACACACACACACACACACACGCATGCACATGCACACACACGCACACACAGGTAGACATTTTTCTCTCATTGCTCAAGCAGCCCCTCAGGGAAGGCAGGTCTCTATCCATGTCCCACCAGCAAATAAGTTAGGGTGTGTGACAGAGGGAGGTCAGATAGAACCCCCACAACCTTCCGGGACCTCTTAGCCAATTAGCCACTTGAGTGCTGTTGACACTGTCAGCCACAGGGCCAGCTGCTTGCTCACTCTCAGCAAGGGAGCCTCCTGCTGATGGCGGGGGTCCAGGGAAAGCTCTGGGTCGGGCCCTGCCCTGGGCTCCTCCAGGAGAAAAACAGCCACCCAGCCAGTGAACACACAGATCCGCCTTGGCCACCTCGGAGTGCCAGACTTCACTGTTCCTTTCTTCAAAGCAGCCTTCTCGGTGTCCCCAGACAGACTGGTGTGAAGTGGGCTTCCCTGCCCCTCTCTGCCTCCTCTTGCTCTGGGCCATCCTTTTCCTCCACGAGTGGGGTCCGTGGTTGGATGGGATGAACTCGCCCTGCTCTCAGTTTGCGAGTGTGGAGGCCGAGGTCGCAGGCTGTCCCTAAGTGGTCTGAGTGCTGGTAGGAGAGATGTATCCTACACCTGTTCCCACGGGCTAGCTCTCCTGTCAGTTTCGTTCGAATTATGCAATCACCGGAAGAGGACCGTGTACCAAAGCTGTCACTGGGCATCACTGAATTATATGAGAGGCCAACCGAAAGACAGGCCATTACCCAATTATTTCCAGTACTGGGGATTGAACCCAAGGCCTTCACTGAGCTACACCCCCAGCCCTTCTACCACAGGGGTACCTCAGTTCTCAAACTTAATTCATTCCACAATTCTGAAGAAGATGGCCAGTTAGCTAGCAAGTATACGTTATGGAAGACCCAATTTTATTGCACAAATAATGAGTGAGTTGTAGATTTCTCATGACCTTCTCGTTCATTGCTTATTTAACTTATTAAAATGTCATCATGTGGATGGTTGGTGTCTGGAAATCCTGAAGAACATTTGCTTAATTCTCTCCTAGTTTTAGTTTAAAAGGAGCTGGTGCCACCTGTACCTACCAGTACTAATACATTTGAGCAGAGTAAACATTAGTTTATTGCATCTGGTTTGCAATGTCCCATAAAGGGCCTTGGGGGACAACAATGGATATAAAACCACTGCCACCCTGTCCACTGTTCATTGCTGAGCTAATCATGCACATGATACTTATTTAAATATGCAAATTATTTTCTTAACTTTTGAAAAAATTGAAATATACTAATCTCTATGTTGTTTTTCATGCAATCATTTATGGATTTGACTTTTTAAAAATTATAGAGTCACATATACTTTATGTTTGCCTTACTGTGTTTGTGAAAAGAAAAATGAGGCATACGGATTTTATAGTTTCAAACATTTATATACTGAAAATTTGAGTTTTAGTGAACAATGGGTGTTTTTGAAAATGCGATCAACTACATTTTCCATTATTTCTGAGCATTGAATTTGGGTTATTCTGGAAAAACTATGCTTAATTGATGCCTCCCCGTAAGTTACCTTTACTAGACCTATAGCATAGTTTGAAACAACCAGCCAAGATCTATTCCTTTATTTTCAATTAAAATGATGAGCAGCACAATAAAAGACTTGAAAAGCTAGCACACCAGAACTAATGTTATGAAATGGAAACCTTAATATTGCTGTGGAAAGTTTAAAAAGCTTGTCCTCTATAGATTAGAGCATAAGTGGTTGGTTTGGGGTTCATTTCCTCTCCCTTCATGTATGAAGTTGGGTTTATAGCAGTTAGTTGTCCTCACAGAAGGAGAAATGTTTAATTATTTTACTGGCAAACCCCACTGGCTCTTCAGGCTTCCTGTCATGGCTATTGGTTGGGTAGAGAAGGAGAAAAGTTGAAGATTTGGAAAAAGTATGTTCTCCATTCACCATGGGCAGATCATAGATTAATCATATGTCAGGGGTTTTTCAAAAAGCTTTATCATTGAATTGATTTAATATTTTCCATCAATAACTCAATGTCTGAAATTCAAACTTCAAGCCTTTGGAGATGGACTAATACAACTTCTCACAAATGAATTTTTAATGGTCTGAATCCAGTGGTCCAATGCCTTCACATGGTATACATACAAATTCCTACAGTGCTGACTGTCTTTATGAGATGGTACTTAGTGGTTGATTATTGAATTGCTAGAACATTTTCATGTCATTCAGAATCACAACAAAAACATTCTTATACTTAAAGCCTTGACATGGATGGGCAACTGCTGATTATTTATCATCATTCATTTTTCTCCCAGTCTATTTTCAATCTTTTTTAAAGAACTAGGTTTCTATTTTTTTTTATTTCACCAAAATACATTTTGCATTTTAAGGAAAAAATAAAGGGCCCCTTTGTCTCATCTTATGAAGTGACATATGACAACATTTTAAAATTCTTCAACAGAATAGTTTAGATTCCAGATGACTCATTTGTTCAAAAATCATTTTTAGAAGAAATAGTCTGATCATTTACATAACAGACACCACATTGAGAAGAGACCCCGTTGACACATCTGGTTCTGCAATCGGGAGGCTGGTTCGGTCTCGAGGACCTGCGCCAGCAGTGGGGGCTGAGGTCTTAGGGGAGCAAGTCCCATCTGCACACAATTACCACAGCGCGCTGGAGTTACTTCCAATTGAGGGAGCCCATGAACCCTAATGCAAAGCAGATGGACCATTTCTTAATGAGCATGCGAATTGTAGGAGCGTTGACCATCATAGTTAAAGAGAGGCGGAAATGAAGAAATTTGAACTGACATTGTCTGAATGGCCAGAGAAGGTCATTGGTGGTGGAATGATATTCCAGATTAACACCTGACAGTCAGAGATTTGGACCTTTATATTTGCTTCTGGTGAGCTCAGATTAGTTGAGTATCTCGAGTATTTATATGGCTGTTTTCATTCTAGAAGATTAGACACCGGGCAGCCAAGAAGAAAGGTGGATTTGGAAGCCTTGGAAATTCTGCTGTCCAGGAGTTTGCAGAATAAACTAGCCATCTTCTCTATCATGCACAGAGAAGTCAAGTGAATCATGAAATGTTCTTAGATCTGCATCCTAGCCTCAGGAGAATATTTGTCTAGCACCTGACTGGCTACCTTGAATGCAGAAATCATACACATTGGTCATTTTGATCAAATTTTGCTGGCTTTTTTCATCACACAAGAAGGAGGTATTTGTGAATTAAAACTGATCATCAATTAGCTTTGAGATCTCTATCCTATCAGGATTTTTTTAAATCTTGGAAAAGACTGTGCCCAGTATAATAAAACTCTCATATATCTAAATGTTTTTTACGATTCTGGGATTGAACTTTAGCCCTGAGCTACAACCTGAGCCCTTTTTTGTTTTTTATTGTGAGACAGAATCTCAAACTTTCGATCCTCTTATGTCAGCCTTCCAAGTGCTGCGATTATAGGCATATGTCACACACAGTGCCTGGTTATGTTGTGCACATTTTTTAACATTATATTTGTGTGTTTGTGTGTGTGTGTGTGTGTGTGTGTGTGAGAGAGAGAGAGAGAGAGAGAGAGAGAGAGAGAGAGAGAGATACTGGGAAGTGAACCCAGCATCTTTGCATTGAACTTCATCCTCAGTCCTTTTCTTACTTTTATTTATTCGTTTTGTTTGTTGCCTCCCAGACTGCTGGGATTACTGGTGTCCACTGCCACAGCCAGCATTGATTTATTTCTTGGTATTTACCTTTTAAAAAGCAAAAGTGATGGGGAGAGAGAGAGAGAGAGAGATTTAAGAAGGCAGCACAGAATTCCTGTGATAAGTTCCTCCCATCCCCAAGTCACCTTTGAGCAGAGAGGGGCTGTCACTGGTGCAAAGGTTTTTGTAAATATTTCGGTGTCCTCCTACTTCCCCTGGCTTACTCCTGAGTGGAGATAAAGTAGGTGAGGCTATTCCTTCAGCAAACATTTGCTTTACATTTGCAATTGCAGAGTTCTCCTGGGGACGCTGTGAGGGCCAAGAAGGACAGGGACATGACTGGACCTCTGGGGCTGTCCCTTAGAGAGGAAGACAGACATCGTTAAATGAGCATTTTGCTGCCAGGAGCAGTTAAATGCACATATCGCTGACAGTTACAGGCTCAGCACTGGAGAGGGGCAGAAGAATGGGGCCTTTATTTCCATTCAGAGACATTAGGGGAAGTGTCACAGGGGGGTGGCATTTGGTCTGAGCCTGGAAGTATTTAAGTGTCTGTAGATGGAAAACAGACTGAAAGACATTTCAGAGTTTAAAACATCTAGCAGGCTATGGTCATGGGAAGGGCCTGGCGATGTGTTTCTAGGAAAGCTGGGCTTAAAGACAGGCTCTGTGGCAAAAATGTAAGATACACACCATGAGTAAGATGAAAGATACGTGGAAGGTGAGATACAGAGAAGATACCTCAGAGAGATGGAGATACAGAGAAAAGTTCACGTTCATCTTAGAGAAAGTAAGATGCAAGTGCAGGGCCTGAGAAGATGGAGGAGACAGTCTGACTTCCAACTTAGAAAATAGCCACAGTATGTCACAAAGAGTGAATTAGCAAAGAGATCGTCAAGGAGATGAGCTTGAAGGCTATCGTGAAGGTCAAGGCAACAGAAGAATGAAGGAAGGGAAAGTTGGGTGGTCATGGTGGAGAGTGATGATTTGGCAATTCCTGGAAATGTATTGTGCAAGTAAACAACTAGATGGTGGTAGGTGCAAGAACAAATACAAAAACTTCTATCCTAAGAAACTGCATTGCCGTGAAGTCACTTACCACAGAAGCAGCTATTTTGGGGAGAAGAAATTAAGAAGGGACTTGTGCAGAGAAATTTGACAGTTGGGAGGCGACACTGCCTTTCACCCTAGCCAGGGACTGGGGATGGATCTGAGAATCATTTGCTTAGCAGAAATAGTCCAGCCGCGAAATGTCGCCTTCATTGTAAGGTTATGCACTCAAAACACAAGTTTACGATACAGGCTTGGAAAACCCTCAAGTCATGGCTGAGCAGGAACCAAGCCTGACTTAGTGGAGGTCTATGCCGACCAGGAAAGTAGAGGACATTATAAAAATGGCTGTTGAGAGGATTCACAGATCCATCAAAAGCCACATCATTTCTCAGCTTCACTAGGTGGCTTTCCCTAATTTGAAATAGAGAAAGAGGTAGGGAATTCAGAGAGAGACCTGAGATCAGGCCATGGCTCCAGGCAGCTTAATCCATCTTCCTCATTTGACCACTCACCTGTTTCACAAAGTCACAGGATCCAGTGAGGCGAATTGATGGTAAATTAACCAGCCATACGCAGCCATGACCCAACAGCAAAGCAAAATGGAAAATGCCACGAGAATGGTAAATGTATTCCCTAGAAAATATTTCTTAAAGAAAAATCAATGACCTTTTGCCCCTGTGTAAATCTGCATTTTAAATCATCCAATCTATTCCACTAAATATCTGATGAATTTAAAACTTTTTCAAACAAGACAACATGAGTTCAGATCAAAATGAAGTGAAATGGAGATTCAGCCATAGCAGATCTTATTTACATCAGATCTTATTTACATTTTGTATTTGTACATTTGCCTTAACTCTCTTCGATTAAACTGAACGAGTGGAAAAATAAGTGAGCAGTATGAACTGGACTTTTCAGCCCACAGAGTTTACAACCCTTTGACAAATGCCCCTTCTTGATGGAAAACGATATTAGTGGTGACTCGTGTTTTTTGGTGTTATGATGCCATCGATTCTACCTAACTCACTTAGTTCTACATATCCTTTTAGTTTTATAAATATGTTTCAAAATATCCCCTATAGGGTCTAGTATTTAGAACTATGGCTTTAATTTTTTTCAGTTACCAGAAAACCTGCATGCTCTTTAGGGGGAAAAAGAAATCAGAATGAAGTCAGATGTGGTGGTGCACACTTGTAATCCCAGCAGTCTGGAAGGCTGAGTCAGGAAAATGGCAAGTTGGAGCCCACCGTGGGCAACTTAGCAATTTAGCAAGATGCTGTCTCTATATCATAAATAAATAAAAAATTTAAAAGGGATGGGGATATAGCTGAATGAGAAGGCCCTGGGTACAATCCTTTTAAAAAGAAATCAAAATGATTAACTTCTTTAAAATGAGCCACCTGCAGGGGACTTTGGAAGCAAGGTGTTCCCTCATGCCAAAACCAAACATTCTAAATTCATCATTTTTCAATTTGAAACCATTAAGTCAATAGGGGAGCCCCTGAGCAGCCTATTAGGAATCCAAAAGGCTCACCCTTTGAAACCACACGTGTGAGATCTGACCACACGAGATTTAGCTTTGCCATTTTTTTTTTCATTTTTCCTGAAAGGGATAACTCCCTGGGTTGGCCATGACAGCAAACCCAGGAGCCGTGTTATAATGACCTTCCAGTGTAGCCATAGAAATGGAGGATGTGAGACATGGGGAAAGGACTGGAGCCTCTTTATAAAGGCCTCCCGCTTTGTGTGAATTCCCCGTTAACCTCCAGTGAAGAACCTGTTAACGCTATTTATTCACAGCCATGTACATGAAAGGGTGGCCCTGGAGAGTCATAGGTCTTTATATGTGATGGACTGAACTTGGCACCAAAAGACTTCTACCATGACATCTGGTACAGAAAGGCCACTGTTCTGCTTTGTTTGTTTGTTGTTGTTTTTCCAGGACCAGGGATCGAACTCAGGACCTTGCCACTGCCAGGCAGGCTCAGCACCACTGAGCTAAATCCCCAGGCAAAGGCCACTGTTCCAAAAGCAAACATACTATCCATTGTCAGCACATAGGATTGCTGTCTTCTGTAGATTTCCTTCAGCTTTTCCAACCCTTTGAATCCCGTGCAGGTTGTTTTAACCAACACAGTTCTGTTTCAGGGGTCCCCTTGAAGCCCAGAAAAGAGTTACGGTTTACTGAGCTCAAGTCGGGGCAGCTGGATATTAAGTGGTCCTCCAAGTTCAACATTTCCATTGAGCCTGTGATCTATGTGGTACAAAGAAGATGGAACTATGGGATCCATCCCAGTGAAGACGATGCCACACATTGGCAGACAGTGGCCCAGGTAAGGGCTGCAGGGCCTCCTTTGTGGTTCTGCTTGAGAAAGTGTTCAACACACACTTGGACACACACAGCCAACTCATTGTGCCTCTGTCACAATACCTGGGGTACAGAAATCAGTCAGGTATGCAAACAGCCTCATGCCTGTGTGTTGCAGAGAGGGTGGGCTCCGCAGAGGGACATGATGTACCTGGAGAGCTGGCTTTTGGCTCACTGGCTCAAGATACACAGAGAAGGGAGGAGACATTGTAATCTGATTGCTCATGCTTATTTCTTTCCAAGAACTATATTTTCTCCACTAAGCTCAAACCCAATATGTTGGCACTAGTTAATCTGTTATTTAATCCTTTCCATGATTTCTTTCCTATTTGTCCTACACTTAAGCCTTTTCTTGGTAGCATGGTGCAAGATGCAGATCACAAAGCTACTCTAGTGGGAAGTAGCCAACAGCTCTTAAATCTTTGCTGAGTGCTTTCTTCTTTGTCTTAGTCCACTTAAAAATGAATACACCAGCTGAGTGGAAACGCTCCTAGAGTTTATCTTAAGGCTATTGCCTTCTCATCTATCTTGATAAGAAAAGCAAAATACTTTCTTTCTAAGAGCTGCTAAATGGACTTCCAGCTGCAAAAATACACAAACAAAAGCAAAAGCAAAACAGAACAAAAATGGATATAAAAACAGAGAAGAAATTCTCAATGTGAAATTGTCTTATGCCCTTTAAGAAATAAATATCCTCCTCTACGATTATGGTTGTAGGGAAAGTTTTTTTGTGTGGGTTAGGTTGATCAGTTTTCGCAAAGGACAAGATTCCTCCTCTTTTTTGGTAAATATAAAAATTAAGAGTATTTGGATGTTTGGAAGAAGTTTTTGGTTCATATTGAAATCTCCAAAGGTTGTGTGTTTAGCTAAGTAAGTATGTTCAAAGTTCAATGTAAAAGAAATCTCTGAAATTAGAAAAAAATCTGAGACTCAGTCAAATAAATGTAGTAATTACAATTTATACATCTTCCAGGACAGATAATTTGCTTCAATAAAACTTGAAACTATTCAGAATACAGATTAAAGTTCCACTTGATTTGCACAGCCCGTGCCTGTAAATAACTGGACAGAGTCATGTCTGAATTTTCTAAATCTTTCAAAGACATGAAAATTGACCATCCAGTCATCTCTTTTATCCCCTCTTTTTGGGAAAAAGAAAGTTCTTGAGTTATTATTTTAACTGTTATGATTATCTGGCCAGTTAATGCCAGTGTAGTTCTCCCGCTTTGTCTCATGTGGTGGATATTATTCTAAGCTTTTAGAACTCACAGCTAAAATTAAATCAAGAAGTCAGATGGAAATGTTGACCAAAATTCAGCCAAATCAGGTGGCAAGCAGTGTTTAAACCACATGCATACTCTTTGATCTCAGAAATGTTTCTCTCTTTGATCTCAGAAATACTCATATATTGATGTAAACACAGTGATCCCTCTCTGTAAGTTATTGTAAACTGAGATTTGGGAGGGTCCCAGTTCCACCCTGCTGCCTGGTTTCACCCTGGGAGCCCAGGTGAGCTGGGCATTAGGCACAGGTGAGTGGCAGGGTCTCGGGTCCACCTATCATGCCTTGCCAAAAGCAGCTACAAAGTGGAAAGTTTGCCAAAGCCTTTGAGTAGCTTAGACCTGGAGCAGCACAGATAGGAACAACTATTGACTTTCCTGGTGTCCAGTTTTTCCTTTGGACATTTATTGGACAAGAGTATATAATTGTTCCTCAGTGTCCATGGGGTGGTGTGGTTCCAGGATCCCTCAAACCTGACAGTGCCCAAGTACCTTACAGCACAGCATCTGCATGTAACCTCTGCATATCCCCTTGCACCATTCAATCCTCTCCAGATGACTTCTGAGGGCTACTACAACGGGCATGCTTGTAAACACGTGTTCCATTGTATTGTTTAAGGGTTAATGACAAGGAAAAACTCCACACATGCTCAGTGCACATGCAGTTCTTTTCTAAGTATTTTCCCTCTGAGAGTGGTTGAATCCATGGATGCAGAGGGTGGGGTACACTTAACACATATGAAGTGTAATTGAAAAATAGTACAATGAACATCTACGCTGAAAACAATTTATTAACCCTAAAAGTCATGTTGCCTTTAATCCCCCTCAAACCACCCCTCCAACTTTGCCTCAAGCACATCTATCTCGATGTTCTTGCCGCTTTCTGAAGTAGTTCTACAAGTCCTCTTTTGTGAGTGTCTTTAGGAAGTGTGATATAAAGTATGATGAATGGTGCTGCTGGGTGCTATTCGATATAGCACATTCTGTAAAAACATGATGGGGCATCCTCATTGCCTTGTTCACCGAATCTGGAAGTGTGTAACTTCTGGCTCTTTCCCAAAGTCCAAATCTCATATCCCCCTGTAAGACCAGGACCAGTTCTTCACAGATATTATGTGATCTACTCAAAATTCTTCCTTTCTTTTCTCTTTCTTTCTTTCTTTCTTTCTTTCTTTCTTTCTTTCTTTCTTTCTTTCTTTCTTTCTTTCCTTTCTCTCTCTGTTCTTTTCTATCATGTATCTATATCTATCAGTCATCTGTCCTATCTATCTATCCATCTCTATATCTTGAGCTACAATTTATATCTAGAAACTGTTAGCATTCTTGAAGTGTATGGATTTTTTAACCTACTTCCAGAATTATATTTAACATGCAAGTTGGAGAGTCATTTTACTTTCTATAATCTAAAAATTATTTTATTTTCTTGCCTCTAATGTAATGATTGCATGTACAACTTTTACTGATTAAATGCTCAGTTCAATCCCCAAAGTTAACAACAACCCAAGCATTTGTCATAGACCTTTACTTCCAGAGATGCTTAGCTCTTTGGGATGAAATGTGAAAGTTGTCTTTATTTGTGCCAACACTTTTCAAATCAGGGCCTGTTGGGCTGGCGTAACCAGTGGGGAAATCAAGGCTAAGCTGCAGTGGCCAATGCGTTTGTGTTTTTAAAAACCGACCCAGCTGGCATGTTAGAATAAAAGGTGTTCCCTATGCTCTGTGGCATTTCCCCTCAGACCACGGACGAGCGGGTGCAGCTGACTGACATAAGGCCCAGCAGATGGTACCAGTTCCGCGTGGCTGCTGTCAACGTGCATGGCACCAGAGGCTTCACTGCACCCAGCAAACACTTTCGCTCCTCCAAAGGTGAGTGTTCCCTTCCTGCTGAGACACCGGATACGCACCTTGCTCCCGGGCACATATGGGATGCAGATTCCTTGTCTCTGTGGTCATAGGGATGGCTGGCCAGTGGGTGGCTTTGGTGTTCTTAGACAACAAGCGGGACCAGATGTGCCTGGAGGTACCATGGAAATTTATGATTAGTGACATCAGGGGGATCTTACCTTCCAGTGTCACAGGAAATAACTTAATGGTGTTTTCGAAACTTTGAAAGGAGGATTTTTCCATGATCAACTTCTATTGGGTTTCTTTTAAGATATTCTGCATCAAGCAGCATTTGCTTAATTTGAGAGGAGAAAGGCCAAGTTTTGGCTACTTTAGATAGCATAGCCTTTCTTGAAACAGTTGTTAAACCAAATGTGAATTAGTCTCTTACTTTTGTTCCACAACATCCAGAATTTTAACCTGCCCTGAGTCGTTTGATCATAGATATACTTTTGTCATGTTCCTGTGCTATTCCATTTGCTATTTTAAAACCTCTGTGGGCTTGCATGGGTGCATGTACTCCATCACATTTGGGCCAGTTTGCTCTGTAAGAGTTGAAGGTCGTAGTCTGACCAGCTCTGGTTGTGGGCATGTGACCACACACCTTCAAATCAACTGAACATCTGCTTGACTCATCAGCAAGACCTGGGTTCCGAGACACAGATTAGCCATGTGCATTTACTGACCACGAATTATCTTCTTCCTTGGGAGTAAATTTGTATTTATTTCAAACCAAATGCATTGTGGTATTAAGGAATAATGTTAGACTATAATATCAATGGTACAGCTGCTATTGACTGCAGTTTCTGTTCCAGGATTAGAAACGTGTACATCTCACTCTATTCTTTTCTCCTCTATGATATTGCTACTATAATATTGCTAAATATACAATAGTGCTATTTAATAATCTCTGTGTAATCTCAAGTCTCAGGAGCAAAACTTGCAATCAAGATAAAGTAATATTTAATAATTTTAATATTATTCCAATATTAATATTATTTAATATTGATGCATTGTAGCTTTTTAACTGTCTTTGAAAAACGTCATTTTTTAAAGAAAAAAAGACCCCCCCCACGTCAGGAAAGTGAGTATAATATCTCAGCAAGCTTTGAAGTGAAATTGTAGATAAACACATCAAAACTTGTCTTAAAATAAGACTGCCTCCAGCTGGTCTGATTGTTTCGAGAGGCCAGCAGAAGTGAATAATTAATGGCAGGTTAAGAGGCGGGAATCGGTAAAAGGCTTGAGTACTCTTCACCTTGTTTTCATGGTTCAAATGCAATCCAGACACAGCCTGGCTGAAATGCGTGGCCATCTGTTTCATGGCCTTCCGCACCTGGCCTGTGGCCTTAGGACAAGGCGGCAGCCTAAGACATCGAAAAGGAGCAGCCCTGCCCCTGTGGACGGATACTGAATTACCTGCAAGAGTGCCAGCACCCCCTGCCTCCTGGAGGTGCAGCAGGTAGCTTTGCTTTGCTCCCATGATCCCTTGCCGAGGCTGACATGAGGAGCCCCTTAGGACCCGAGTGAGGTCCTTTCTCAGTCCCCAGGACTGGTCATGCTAACTAAAAGTAGCAAATCTGTGCTATCTCAACATTTCCTAGTGCGCCCTAGCAATTTAGTAGTCCAGCATTATAGCTGCAACCCTTATATTTTAATCAACTCCCATTTTTTAAAACATTATACTCACCATTAAAATGTTCCACTTTCCACTTTTACACATATACCCAGTTCATGCTTGCGTACATCTCATTGGGAGGAGCATTCCAGGGGTTAGTTCTTGCACTCTTACAATTTTTTTTTCTTGGTATCGGGGATTGAACTCGGGACCTTGTGCTTTCGAGGCAGGCGGGGGAACCACGGAGCTAAATCCCTGGCCCTCTGAACTAAATCCCCCACCCACACTCTTACAAATTTAAGAAATGAGCACAGCATTCACAGTGGAATCTGTTATGTCTTCAGTAAAGATGCATCACAGAAAGGAGGGAATGTCACAGATTAGCCAAACATGGAAGACATTCTCTCTACCATCTGTCCAAAGGAAGCTATATGTCTGACAAGATGGTGCCACCTTAATCTTATCAAGAGGGGCAAAGAGTCTTACTGGGGAAAATTGCCTGGCAATTTCATGAAATATAACTTACTTGCTGTAAAGTTCACCCATGGTAAGTGTACAGTCCAGTGAATTTTAACCGAATGAGCCATGCAACCATCACCAACATTTAATGTTAGAGTGTCCATCATCCCCAAAAGATTTTTCATTCCTCTCTTTCTCACATTCACCAAGTCCAGCTTGTCATCCAATTCTGTCGGCTCCATTGCAGAATCAGTGCTGACCATTTCTGCCCACATCCATCATGACCGCCCCAGACTGGGCCACCATCCTATCTCATTTGCACAAAAGCTCAGGTGGCATGGGTAGATGGGAGAACCCAGCTTTCTTATCCACCAGACTTACTTACTATTCAGGTGTCACTTTAGTGTCCCCCCAAAATCAACCACTTCCTCTAAAGGAAGTACCTGAGAGCCATATTAGTAACATTCTCAGGAAGACATTTCCAAAGGAAAATTCTTAAAAAGTGGAGTCCACTTTTTATATTGAGCCCTAAGATGGTTCGTAGTAAGGCATGAAACATCTTATTGTGATAATTGACTACGTGGAACTTAGAACATATTTATAAAAGCAGGAAAAAGAAAACACTGTAATGTTGACTGAAATGTTTTCTCCAAAATGGTGCATTTTTATTCAGTAAAAGCCTATGTATTCCAGTTGTGCTGCAGAACTAAAGCTTTGCCGGTCTTCTGATGGTTTAACATTATTTTGAGAATTCTTCCTTTCTCAGTAGTAGCCTGTGTGAAGAATAAGTAATGATCTAATGCATTTTGGGTTAGTTAGGGAGCCAGTCTGGATCATTTAAGCCTCAGTCAAGGGAAAAAGGAAGGAATTTTTTCGTCTATTATGAACATTCAAAAAATACAAAGTTAAATTAAATTTAAAAAGTAATAAAGAATATGGGACAGTCATAGATCATCACGGTCACACACCTTGAATGGAGGTGGTCCTATGACATTCGGCAGTGGGAGATTTAGTCTACAGGCATCAATGGCAGAAACAGAAGAAGTAAAATCAATATTCATTTTCCTGAAATACATGTTGCTCCCATGCTTGTATCCTGGTCTGTGATTATATCTAAAGGTTACTTGCTTTCTGGTAGTTGCTCTTTTAAGACACAGGGGTGGTTTCTGTGAAAAAACCAGAATTATCTGGAAGCCTGGAGGAGCCCGCCTCCCACAGAGCCATAGGGTTTCTCCTGGGACAGGCACACCTGGTCCTTTCCCATGAATATGGTCTCAGTGCAATAATAGCCGTGCGTTTCACCAAGGGCCATCAGTGATTTCATTTGTCACTTGGCTCACTGCAGGCTCGGTCATTCTATTGTACCAAGCCTCCCTCCATGCCTGTTATTTTGCTGCTCATGGCATTCGCCTTAAAGGATTGAGTGATAAAACATGGAAGCAGCCTTTCTGAAAGCCAAAAGGTTCATTTTCCTTGGCTGGAAGTGCTGATCAGGATCATCAATAAATGAAAGTATTTTTTACAAGGCGGAGGTTAGTTATACCCACTAACCAGTCAACATATTTTTGCATCAGAAATCATGCAAGTTTCACTTGAGTGGGAGCTAAAATGGCCTTCCTACTTCCGTGACCTCTAAGAGTGCGAGCCTTTCCACTCTCTGGCATGGGTTTCTGAAGATTGCTGTGAAGGTCTGAAGGAGGGAAAGGAAAGAAGCAGGAAAAGAAGTGAGACGGAGGAGAAATGCTCTGCTCTGGGCTTCAGAAAGAGGAGTTGAAAGATTTCTGCTCTTTTTGCGTGAATTTGACGCTCTCAATCTGTACTTCTGAGCCGACGAATTTAACTTTCTGCTCCTCAACTTTCCCATCTCTTGAGACGGAAACTATCATGTTAACATTGAACTGACTGTGTAACGTGGTGTGAACAAAACATATGGTGAATGTTTTTTAAAAAATTAAAACAATTTCAGTAAAAGACACATTGCCACTGATTCCCCATAAAGTACTTCTCCTACTTCGAACACACTTTTCCCATTGCTCTTGCCACTTTCCAGAGCACTTCTAGAAATCCTCTTCTGTGAGTCTTTACAAACTGTGAACAAAAATGTGATGAATGCTGCTGCTGAGAGTCGTCCAATAGAAAGGTGGCTTGTAACAACGTGCTTGAGTCCTCATCCACTGGGAGTGGTACTTGTGACTTCTGGCTCTTCCACAAAGTCAAAATGATCATGAAAGATTAATATTTTTTTGTTTTGTTTTGTTTTTGTTTTTTGTTTTTTCGGTCAGAACTGGGGATCGAACTCAGGACCTTGTGCTTGCAAGGCAGGCGTGGCACCACTGAGCTACATCCCCGCCGGTTAATGTTCTTAATTGGTTCAGGATACTGAGGCAGCCACTACAGGACAACCACAGACACTATTATGGAAAGAGAACTGCTTCAGAAAGTGCCAAGAAAAATGGAATAAGTATGCTCAAAGCAAGAGAGTATTTTGAGAGGGATTAATAGTAGTATCTTCTAAAGTTCACTGTATCTGTTCACCCCTCACACAACCATTAATAAAATTAGAAATAAAGTTCATGTCAATTTATATGAAGCTAATGCCACCACAGCTTTTAAAATTCTTTTGTTTCGGGATTGGCAATATATGGCCTATTAGTTCAAATTTGGCCTGCCCCCTATTTCTGTAAATAAAGTTTTATTGTAACAGAGCCACAGATTAAAATATATAAAGATAATAACAACCACTCATGTACTTGGTGCTATATGGAGGTTATCTCTTCTGACTTTCATAATTTAACAAAGATTATTTTAATGGAGAGACTGGGAATGTCTCATTTTCATAACGGTATGCACCATCTTGGTATGGTAAATACTCAAAATGGGCCCGACCTTTAAGAAAATGTAAAGCAAATAATATTAATTAACAATTTTGCAAGCATTATTTTTTCATGTGTTTTTTTCATAAATTACGATATTTCATGTTCTGTAATATTTCATAAACTGGATGTTATTCTGGATTCTTATGCTCACATCCAATACATAAAAAATTCTATGGTAGTAATTGAATGAAGTAGATGAAGGGAAACAATGAATCCCAAGTGCCAGTTAAATTTCTTAAATGTTGGAAATTCTTTAGAATAGGAGATGATTTTTTTTTTTTTATGGTACTAAGGATTGAACCCAGGGCCCTCACTGAGATATAGCTACAGTTCCTTTTACTTTTTGAGATGGACAATTGCTAAATTGCCTGGGCTGGGCTTGATCCGCAATCTTCCTACTTCAGCATTCCAGAGTACTGGGATTCCAGGCATGCGCCCAACTGGGAGATGATCGTTAGGAGCTGGGTGTAGAACATCTGGAAAACGCCGGTGCCTACTTCTCTCCAGGAAAGATATTCATGTGCACCACTGGGAACATGAGTGGCTGTTATTGTCACACATTTTCATTTTTCTTTCGCTTTGTTCCTCTTGACTTGTCCTCATATCCTATTTCATTAATTTCTGCTGAAATGTTAAGAAATTCTCACAGTTTATTTCATCGGATTAAAAATGAATGGATGCATAAACAGATAATGCTAAGTGGGCAGGATTGCCACAGAGAGGACCATTAGGGGGCCTTTGCAGTAACCAGGGAGAGATGTTGGTGGCTTGGGCCAGAGAGAGCCATGGAGAGAAGCAGTTAAATTCCAGATAAGAGTGTGAAGCTAGTGCTGATGTACCTGCTCAGGGGATGGGATGCTTTGGATGTTGTGTGTCCCCACCAAAACTCAGGCTGAAACCAGATTCCTAATGGAATGTTGCTGAGAGGGCGTGGGGGCTTTTGGTGATATGAAGTCATGGGGCTCCATCCTCATGAAGGGTTCGTGTCATTCTCATGACAGTGGGGGGGGGGGTTACTGGAGGGTGAGTTGTTATAAAGTGACTGTTTCTTTTGATTCTTCTCTCTCATGTATTCTCTTCTATTTCCACCTATGTTCTCTCTATATCCTCACCATCATATGATATTGTGCAAGGTCATGCTCCTGAACCTCCAGAAAAGCATGAGTCAAAATAAACCCTTTTTTAAAATAAGGTACTCAGCCTTGGGTATTTTGGGACAGTAGCAGAAAGTGGAGAAAGGCAAGGCATATGAGAAGAAAATAAACATGCAACTTCAAATTTTAGGGCTGGAGCAACTGGAAGGAGAAATTTGCATTTCCTGAGATGAGGGTGTCTACAGTGGGTTGTGTATGTAAAGGGAGGTGGCAGGGTCAGGATTTTAGTTTCAGGCACTGTGATTTTCTTGCATGTCCGAGTGGAGCTGGCTGTAAAGCATTTGAATTGTGGACCCTGAGTTCAGGAGTGAGGTATGCTCAGTCATCGGCACAGAGGTGGCTTAGAGCTGTGACACTGGATGAGGTCCCTAGAGTGGGAGGGACAGTGGGTGTTGAGGAAAGGGGCCCCCAAGTTCAAACACTGGATGCTCTCCTGTTAAGTGAAGCTGGGAAGTGTAGGAGCCAGGGGGAGCTGTCAGTTCACTTCCCGTGAGAGGGAAGGAAAACTCGGCAGTGAGGAATGTCCTGGAAGCCGTGTGAAGGACATTTTGCAAAGACAAGGAAGTGATTAATAGTGTCGATATTGATGATTGAAGAGGGCTGATCAGATGTCTATTCCGGGGCTCCACTTGAAGGGGATCAGCAGACTCCATTATACATCATGGCACCCCAGAAGACTCTTGATGTTGGTTATTGAGCCTTTGATTAGCAGTGTCGTGTTGTACTCTGCTTTAGATTTCCCCACTAGTTAAACATTATTATTTTTAATAATGAAATAACCAAATCTCCAGACATTACATAATCATAGAGAAAAACAAGAGATTATTAAGCATAATTCATGGTGCCATCATTCAAAAACTGCATGGAGATTTGTAGAAGGACATGTTCAACACCTAGCCTGACTCTTAACAGCTGAGAAAATTTTGGTTTCTGAGACAAACCAGGAATGAAAAAAATCTCCCCAAATTGATGTTAGTCATAAGTCACCCAATTTGTAACATGCATAAAAATTTTGAAAATTTGGTTGGGTTGCAGTGGTGTGGAAATGCCTCCAAGGCTTTTTCTGTATATTAAGAAAGTTGGATGAACCAAATTCATCTTGTGGTTTTGGTGACTGTATTTTATTGTGAGACATACCCAGGGGAATTTTGTATAGAGCTTGTTTTCGGCTCTCATATACTAGGAGGAAAGCAGTGCTTCCTGCATGGACCACAGCATCATTCCTTGGGCAGTCATACTCTTCTGTTGCCCTTGTTGGTGGCTGGTTCCGATGTTTGTTTTCCTCTGGGCTTTCAGATCCATCGGCACCCCCAGCCCCAGCCAACCTTCGGCTTGCAAACTCCACCATCAACAGCGACGGGAGCGTGACCGTGACTGTCATTTGGGACTTCCCCGATGAGCCAGACATCCCTGTGCATCACTACAAAGTGTTCTGGAGCTGGCCGGTCAGCAGCAAGTCACTTGTCCCAATGAAAAAGAAGCGGAGAAAGACTACTGACGGAGTAAGTGGCCATGAGAAGGAAGAGTTGCCTGTCCTTGGGGGGTGTCTGAGCTGGTCTGAAAAGTGGTCTCCATGGAGCTCAGGATGCTGCTTTGTGGTGACATTCAGAGAATGCAGGAGCGTACTGCTAGAATTTGGAGAGGTGTTCCCCAGAGCCCTGGACCCCAGCTTGGCACTTGAGGGAGGTAGAGGAGCCTTCAGGAGGGGATAACCAGAGTGGGAAGTCTTCCCGTCAAAGGGCATGCGACTTTGAAGGGGGTGACAGAACCCTGGTCTCTTGCTCTTCCTGTCTTTGGCGTCTAGCCACATCAATGATTCCGCTTTGTCAGATGTCCCACCATCTTATGTTGCCTGCCCAAGGCAAAGGGGCTGGTGCAGCCTGGCAGGCGACCTCTAAAACTGAGCCCAAGTAAGTCTTTCTAAATCGATCATCTCAGACATTCGTTATGGCGGTGGAAAGATAACTAACACACACAGGCCAACTCATTTGTCTTTTATATTTCAGGCAAAAGGTGCTTGAAATGAGTCCATTGACCTTTCTTACCCACATGGCAGTCACAACTTCAACTTCAGAAATCAAAGGAGCACATGGAATTATTTCCATTTTACCTATCTAGACACAGAAAATGAGATAATGTAAAATGTCCTTTATATTTAGGTTTTTTTGCTTAAAGAGAAAATTTTAGATTAGGATTTTTTTTCCTTAAAGAGAAAATTTTAAACTAAGTACCATTTCATGGCTTTTCTGTTTCAAGATGTTTCTATCTGTGATCTAATCAGTGGGAAGAAAGCTTAGAAAGTACATTTTTGACAACACATTCTTCACATTGATTAAAAGGATCTGAAGTGGTTTATTTTCCGGATGCTGAGAGACAAAAATCTGCATTGAGCCATTTTCTGCAATGAGGTTTCTTGAATCATAGGTAATGTTCAGTGCATTCAAATGTCATTCTGTTTCCTTTCAGCATACCTTCCTTTATGGTGCTGTAAAATTTACATAAACACCTTCCCTCCTTATTTATAAACTCAGATTCTATACATCAATACATGTGTAAAACTACTTTTTTTTTGGTACTGGGGATCGAACTTGGGACCTTGCACTTGCGAGGCAGGTGCTAGAACCACTGAGCTAAATCCTCAGTCTGTAAAACTATTTTTAAAGACATTGCACTAAATATTCCACTATTTGTGCCATTTAGAATTATTTTTAAATGTCCATATGATCTTTAGCTATTATGTTCTTTTCATTGTAAAGAAATTTTCGTACAATTCTATCTTTCATGTTAAAAAAAATTTGCCACAAATAATCATTAGTAGTACATGCTTATCTCTAGAAAGAGCTAAAGGGCTACAGTTAGGGAATCACTGGTATCTAAAAGGAGACAGATGAAATGTTAAGGGCCCCACTTCTCCCTGAACCATCTCATGCCCTTAACAACCAAATCTCATCAAACACATAGCAGGGAAATGGCAGTGTGTTTCTAGCATAAGTCCACTGTTGGTTTATCATTATTATTATTAACATAATTATTACAAGTATTGGCCCAGAGTAGCCTAAATTATGGGTCATGATCTGATGAGTGACGTGTTTTTGGATGCCAGAGAGACAAGTTATATGTTGTGTGAATCATTGCTGTTTTCAATAAATAAATAAACTTCATACAAAGACCAAAATGTTGTTTTAAAATAATTTTCTTAATGCAATGATTTTGGCCTCTAGAGTGGCATGGAAATGAGCCACCTTCACCACCTTCCCTGCTAGATCAGTTACACATCTGTGACAGCTGATGTAAATCTTCCATAGATTAATTTTTACCGAAAGTCCTGAGACAAAGCAACCCGACAGAATGCTTCCACATTTTTCTGGTGTCATTATTGTTAATGTCAAGCACCCGAGTTAAGGATAGAGCTCATCATGAGAGCCCTCGACTAGTTTGTTCAAGACCTCAGGTTAATCTCAGTAGCACAAAAGTAAAATTATGAGAGGGCTGGGGTGCAGCTCAGTGGTGGAGCTCTGCAACTCACTTCTGGTCAGTTAGATCATTTCTTAACCTCTTTGCCGTCTTCCCTGGGATGATGTCAAAAATGCTAGGGTGGTATAGATTCATTTCAGAGGGCTGGGTGTCACTTCAGGTCATTGAATGTCCCCATGTTTTCTTCAGTTTTTAGTCATTATTTGGTTCCATGCTGAATTTCAGTAAGATGTTTTGTCCCATCTGGCCCTAAGACAGCATCTGCTTTTTGATGATCAGATCTGTCTCTTTCTCTCTCTTCCCTCCAGTTCTTCATTAGGTGAGCAGCTTTCCTCCACCACACCCTTCTGCACTAATATCTTGACCTTGCCACAAGCTGAAAGGCAAAGAAGCACTTGTATCTTGGGAAGATGCATCAGTTGTACTGGTTCACTTCATTTTACAGCTGTGTTTGTATGTCCAGGGTCAAGTGCATAGCTTTACTCAATAAATATCCTATGAATTAACATAGGAACAGATGAATTTCAGATGTGATTTACTTCCTTTTCTCATTGAAGTATGTCTTATTCATTGACTATTGTAGTGAACTGGAACTTGCTTGAGAATAGAGTGGCCAAATATAGCAGCATTATGAGGTCACAACTAAGTATTGTGCTGTCACAATGGGGCAATGTGGTGTCATCATATCACATTGTGAAGCCTTACTTTGACACCACAACAACCCAATGTGACCTCCACAATGCCCTCATGATGATCACACATTGCCCCTTATGACATCACAATAATCATTTATGACATCACAATGCCACATTATATCACAATGCCCCATGTGACCTCACAGTGGCCTGTTGTGACATCACAATGCCACATTATGATATACAATGAGGTCACAATAGGTTGTTGTGATGTCATAGTAAGACTTTGTGGTGTCATAATAGGTCATTATGAGGTCATAATATGGCATTATGAAGTCACAGTTGAGCATTGTACTGTCACAACGGGGCATTGTGATATTGTATTCACTGTGAGGTCACAGTGGGGCATTATGAAATCACAAGTGGCACTACAGAGTTATAATGGAACATTGTAATATCATAATGGACCATTGTGATGTCATAAAGGGGTATTATGAGAGCATAATGGGGTAGAGAAAGTTATCATGGGATATGAGGTCATAAATGGGCATAATGAGGTCATGATGGGATAAGAATAGGCCATATTTGAATATTATGAGGTCACTGTGGATTACTATGAAGGCATAATTGTGTTTCATGAGCACATAAATGGCTTGTAGGAGATTATTAATGGCATGAGGGCACAGAGGGGTATCACAATGGTGTAGTGGGGTATGAGGGTATAAAGGGGTATTATGTGGTCATAGTTGGTATTTTTAGGTCATAATGTAATAGTATGAAGTCATAATATGGTATTGTGTGGCCATAAGGGGGTACCAATGAGCTCATCATGGGGTACTATGAGGTAATAATTGGGTATATGAGGTCATAATGGGGCACATTGTGGGCTATCATGAGGTCATAATGGGCTATCATGAGGTCATAATGAGTCAAGATGGGGGCATAGACAACTTCTATGTGGTAATAATGGGGTATTATGAGGTCCTAAGGGGTATTATTTTGATCCGTAGTTGAAGGGGACCTTCAGATCATGCTGATGTAGGAGCTGTAGGGACTGTAGGAACGGTCTGATCTCCACACAGTAAAGTCATCGCCTAGCCAGCAGGCAGTGAGCTTTGTGGTGACCCGGGAAGTCGGTAAGGAAGGGGATGGGGATGGAAGTGCTGCAATGGAGTCTGAGCGCATCCCTTCGTTTCTAGCTTCAGAACTCCGTGACCCTGGAGAGACTTCAGCCAGACTGCGACTATACCGTGGGACTCCAGGCCATCTCCTACTGGGGACAGACCCGCCTCAAGAGTGCCAAGGTGTCTCTGCACTTCACGTCCACACGCGCTGCCCACAACAGTAAGTGGCGTTGCCTGCTTCTCCGGTCCACTGTGACCAGCACATTGTCAGAGCGGGGCAAGCAGCAGGACAGTGAGTTTTGCTTTGGAGTCATTGCTCGGTAAATGTCACCAATTACACACACAGCCACACTCATGCCCTGCTTCACAATGTTCTGGTCCCTTGAAGGCTTGTCCCACACGATGAATTATATGGCTCAGTCACACCATAGTTACCTCAGTTTGTATAAGCACACCGGACAATGTTCACGCAATGATGAAAACACCCAGAGATGGCGTTTCTCAGAACATATCCCTGTTGTCGAGCAACTTAGGACTGAATGTTCTTTGAACTACAATATACTAAGTAATTTTTCCTGCGAATACTTATTTTTTGATGTTTATCTGTTGGTGTGATATTTTGGTGTTAGAAAAACTAATTTACCAGCATGCAGGCCGGGGTTTGTGGTCGGTCAGCGGGAGAGTGCTTGCATAGCAAGTGTAGCACTGGGTTTCATCCCTGGTGTGAGAGGCTAGGGAGAGTCATCATGCCGTATTCTAACAAGTCCTCTACTTCCACAGGCACGCGATCCCTACTCCTTGCTTACCCATGTACTTGTTTTAAGGAGAATACATACAGTTAAGCTATTACAAACTGTTGTTTCCCCTCCTCAAAATGTGGCCAGCCTGTTTTCTTTGGAATTCCACAGTGGTCACAGTCATTGCTTGGAAAGCTACCTAGTGCTCCACTGCATCGTTAGTAATTATTCCCACATTGGTTTTCCTTGTTTCCATTTTTTTTCTTAACTAGTATGTTTACCATGGACTGAGCAAAACAAGAGGAGTGTTTTACATGACACTTGTGTCTTAGATGGCAAACGGGTTACTTGCCGTTTGTAGCTTTGTTGGAAGTGGAGACTCACTGGAGCTGCTTTGTAGAGGCACCTGGTGAGGTTCCAGAGAACCGGGGTAGAGGAAGAGAGCGTGAGGGGCCAAGGAGCCCTGTCTCAGGCAACCTGGTGATGTGGATTTGTTACAGCAGCAGAACCCTGCTGTCCCTCTGCCTTTCCTCATGGCAGTGGGCCTTGTTCTAAAGAGGATAAGACCATATGAAAAGCTTGTTTGAAATCGGGAAAAGCTATGCTAGATTTAGTGACTGCTCGTAATGATCTTCTACCACCTGGGGAATCAGTAGGCGCCAAATGAGCTGGTTTGTTTGAAATGATGCTTTCAAAAAGTCTCAGAGACACAGCATCTGACCTATTTAAGAAATTGTCTCTTGGGAGATTAAAATGGTTTGAAATGGTCAATTTTTGTGTGAGTCTAAGTACAATATAACTTTTACCTAAAACACTTTGTGGAAATATTTCCATGTGTTTAGCAGCTTCATTCATTTGTAGTCATCTACTCATTCATCACATTGAAATTATGTAACTATAAAATTATAACATTACTGTGTCTGATGTTGGGAATTCTATACATGTATATACACACACTGTATAATATATGCTAAATACATGCACTATATGTACCTCACATCATATATACATATACATATATATACACACACACATATATGTATATATATACACACCATATATATATATATATCTGGTAGTTTTCTGTAACCAGTGTGTGTATATCTGAATACACACACACACACACACACACACACACACACACATACACATATATATATATATATATCTCCAGAAAAATATGCACACAAATAGACTTGCTTCTCAGTGTCCATGTAAGATTGTTTCTGGCCCCAATCCCCCATAGATAGCAAAATCTTTGGATACTCAAGTCCCTTATATAAAATGCCGTAGTATTTGCATACATCCTATGCACATCCTTGAAATTTATTTTAAATCCTATCTAGATGTCTTAAAATGCTTAAATGAGTATCAGTGAATAGTTTTCATGCCTTTTGTTTAGGGGAAAATGATAAGTCGATGGATGTTCAATACATTTTTGTCCTCTTTTCTCTTTTTTTTTTATGTCTTGGGGCTCAAACCCAGGGGCGTGCTACCACTGAACCACATCCTCAGCTCTTTCTACTTTTAATTTGGGGACAAAGTCTCACTGACTTGTCCAGGCTGGCCTTGAACTTGTAGTCCTTTGCCTGAGTAGCTGGGATTACAGGCATGCACCACCATGTCTGAATTTTTCCCAGTGTGTTTGACCCATGTTGGTTGAATCCATAAACATGGAGTGCACAAACAGGGAGACTGGACTGCACATAGATATGAGTGCGCACACACACACACACATATGCATATTTCCCACCAGTGCATATATCTTGGCCTTTGCCCACAAACAGCTCAGGCCAAAGGTCCAGAACTCATTCTTCATCCTTCTCTTTTCTCTCTTTCTAGAAATCCAATGCTGCAGGAAGCTCTTCATCTGTAGATTTAAATTACACATAAGCTCTGTCTAGTTCTCTCCCTTGTTCAAACCACTCCATCTCTTTCTACTAAAATTGAAATAGTCTCCTCATTTATATTCTTGTTTCTACTTTCTTAAATTAATTCTCCATTATTTAGGTAGCAGGAAAAGTATTCTTCAGAAAATATTATAAGCAGATTACAGATCTCTTCCTTCTCTGAGTTCCACTCTCAAGAAAGTGACCCGTTTCTCTTCTTTTTGTCACTTTCCCCCCAACCTTCGCCTTTATTGCTGTTCTCCTTATTCCTTCTCAGCATCCAAATCCTTTAAACTTCTGCTTCATCCAAGGCCTTTATTTTTCTACTGGTGGTGAGGATTTCATCTATGGTGTAAAATAAGCATGTCTCTTTAGACTCCTCTGTTCCTTCCGATAAACAACATTCTTTCCCTGTTAGCAACTGGTATGGGATTGCAGGGTCCCATAATTTAATATGTGTGTGTTCCCAGAACCGAGGGCAAATTCTGACCTCAACCTGTCATTGTTGAGGTTACACCGTCAGGAGTCTGGTCACTGTCCAGCCCACAAATAGAACTTTCATGGAACCCTGGTTATGCGTGGCCCATGTACGGCTTTCTCGCTTTCCCTATGGCATCCCCACATGAACTCTCAAGAATGATTGTAGACCTCTCTCTCTCTCTCTCTCTCTCTCAGCCATATTTCACAGTCTGCTTCTCCATCTATCTTTTCTCAGTCAGCCAAGCCCCTTATATGTAATCGTATCTGTCCCTTTACCTGTGTTTTCTTCTCTCCTCTGTGGTTGAAAGAGGAGCCATCATTCCTCTTCCAAAATGGTAGACGTCTCTATTGAATTCTGGACTGCTGCTTTACAATTCAGACACCTGCCAGCCCTGATGCAGAAACCTCATCTCAGTTAGAGACCATGGATCATCTCTCTGTGTCCACAGCATCCATCGCGGTCCTAGGCATATAATCACAGGACCGTAAATATTTATGGAACTAAAGGAATCAGTCATTCCTTTCCTTGCCTTTAACTCCAGCTTACCCCAGTAGGTCTGCTTAGTTTCTGTTTCAAAAGCACACTTTTCTTCCATTCCAGCTGCCGTTTTCCTCCTCTCCATGTTCCACTCAAGTCCCCGTTCCTCTGTTTCCCGATCACATTTTTTTTCCACTAAACCTGCTCCCGGGATGGTGGTTTTCCATTCCTAATTTCACTGACTCTTGCTGTTACCTTTGTCTTTGTGTAACTGTACTCTCCTCCTTGACCCTTGCATATTGGACTTGCAGATAGCCTGATGTTTCTCATACCCCTTCTTGGTTTTAGCCGCAGAGGTTTCTTCCGATCATCTAGAGGACATTGGTGCTTTCTGGAATCCACCCTACCTGCTTGGGTGGTTTCAATCACTATCGTGCATCCTGCTCAGTGCCTCATGTGTCACCTCTCTGTCTCCACTAATATGCACTGCATTTCCCCACTTTATCATTGTCTCTCTCTGAATGCCATCAGGCGCCTCTACCCCGGCAAGTTCCAAATTGAACTCACCGCTCCATTTGCAAAGCTGGATATTCTCGTGCATTTCTTGAACCTATGGATGTTAATACTGAGAAGAAACTTGGTAGTCTTTCTTCACCTACTGCTTTCTGGCTTCTCTAGTTTACCTCTTGTTCCAGAAAATTTTTAAGCTTTGCAAATTTCTTGAATCTTTGAGAAGGATAAGTAAGAATTTTTGTCAGTCATCTTTTCATCACTATCACAAGATACCTGAGATAATCAACTTATAAAAAGAAAAGGTTTACCTTGGCTCACAGTTTTGGAAGGTCTAGTCCCTGGTTAATTGGCCTGCTGGCTTTCAGCCTATGCAAAGACAGCCCATCAGAGTAAGAGGGTATGATGGAACAAAGCCACTTACCTCGTGGCCAGGGAGCAGAGGAAGAGAGAAGAAGTCTCACAACCCCAATGATCCAAAGACCTCTCAGTGGACTGCACCTCTTAAGCATTCTATCACCTCCCAATAGACCACAGCATTTACCACATGGGCCTTTTGGGAACATTCCAGACCCACATTATAGCAGAATTCAATTCACATTTGTTGTCCAACTGGATGTAACTGTTTCTCCATTTAACCACTTTTATAGTCCACACCACAGCTTCCTAAAGGTGTCAATGGATAAATCTGACCTAGGAGTGAATACTAAAGAGGAAGGGAAAAAGGAATAGCATTTGGTCTCATCTTCCAAGCAACCAAAGTTATTCATCTTTTCTGGTCTGTATGCATAATTTCACTATATTCTCCAAGAGTTTGTGTTTTTATTAACTGTTCCAGAGGAATTCTCTTTACACGTGAGAGTTTCCTGCCAGGTGGGAAGACACTAGAATGATGAAAGTTAAATGAGTTATTTTGACACCAATTATCTCATAGTTGTGACAAACGGGACATAGTATTTGGTTGATTCTGGGTGGCCAGCCTCTTTAACCGTTATCTTTGAAAATTAGATAACCTCTTACCTGGCCAGTACAAGTGTGATAGCTGACCTGTCACAGACTACTTTCTTGTGAGGCCTGACTCCTACCACACAGATTTGGAAAGTAATAAAAGAATAATTTTTAAAAAGTAATGCAAAGTATCTGCAGTAAGACACATTGCCTGGTCTCCAGTTACCCTGTGGGGGAGAATGGCTTTACAACAGATTATGTAGCATATAGCTGAATGTTTGTCAGGATTTTATATCTCAGTGTTGATATATAATCTTGTAAACACTAGTGTATGGTTTTACAAGAACACTTCCTATTTTATCATGAATCAGCTAGAAGTAAAGAATAATTACAACCTTATACTATAAGCAAGGGGAATTATATTTTATAACAGGTAGTGTAGTAAATGTCAGCATATCAATTACTTTTTTGAGTTATATCTTGGTCTGCAGGTGACTAGGTGTTTTAATGATAAATATTTTTATGCAAGTAGAGGCTGAATGTTCATGCAATTTTTATGAAAGGGTCCCTTGAAGGAAGCAGGGCATAATAACACTGTCTTTAATGGAAAGGTAGCTTGTTTTTTGGAGGCAGAAGGAATATTTCCAATATTCACACATTCCAAGTGCTACATGGTTGCCTCTTGGAACTTGATGGATTATTTTTTTAATTCCCCAAAATATGAATGAAATTAAGAGAAAATACTCTGAATCTTTTGATCTATTAAATTAAACAAACCTGGATGATTTTAGAAAATGGCAGAGAGAGAGAGAGTGAGAGAGAGAGAGAGAGACAGAGACCTCAGTTCATCAATGTAATTCTTTGCGTGATTCTGTTTGCAAACTGAATTGGACAAGAACTGAATCAAATTTCCTCATAAGGTCAACATTGAACCTAACTATTGAATTTGATATCTATATCTATATCAAATATATATGTAAATATATAAGTATATATATTTGATTCTCTTAACACTTATGACTATTGAAAATAGAGTATAAAGCAAACCTCATGTCCTTTCAGGACAAAGTAGGTATGATTTAATCTCATTTTCTTTTACTTCTCAAAGTGGGAGAGATGTTCTTACAAGGCCAGATGCATAACCATGGCAGTATGAGTAGCACTAATTTTGGATGGGTTACTTCTTGAGTCATTTCAGAAAAGCAACAATGGTTCAATATTGAGATATTCAGAAATATGTTCCTATATCTCTAATGAAAGATTAAAATTTGTATGATTTAAAAGCAAGTGGGAAGACAAAATTCACATAAAAGTGCAACTTAGTATCTTCCTTGCCATCTTGGTTATCTGGTGGCAAATTCTCAGTAGCACAGATTAGTGAAGAAATTAAAAACATAAATGGGCATGTGACCATCTTAGATCTTTAATTCAACTTCAGATGTAACCCAGCTATTTTTATTTATTTATTTATTCATTTTTTTGGTACCGGGGATCGAACTTGGGTCCTTGCACTTGCAGGGCAGGTGGTGAAACCACTGAGCTAAATCCCTGGCTCCAGAGAATGTTTCAAGTCAATGATGATTTAAAAAAGGGAGATGGATTTTGGCTAGAAGCCCCATAAATTTTCTGTATCCTGTTCCTACCTCTTCTCTCTGGGTTCCAAACTCATTGGTGATTCTGACTCTTGAAAGTGATGACCTAATCAGTATTTCTCACCTTTCCAAGCATTGATTTGAACTCCTTAAACAAAAATACTGTAAATAAGTCACTCCCTGATGTAAGTATCGATTGCCTTTTGATCAAATCTGGAGATGAGGTAGTGGGCATGTCAGCATAAGGAAAAGTTAACAGTCCATGTGAAATTTCTTGTGGGGCCCCAACTTTCCTTTATGGGTCCTACCTTCTCCCGGGTTGGGAGTCTTCTCTCCATTCATCTGCATCTTTCCATCTTCCTCCACTTTTCCAAGAATGTGACCATCATCATAGCTTTGTTAAGAGAATCTTCACAACATATTGAATGTAGGTCTCACAGTAAAATTGGAAATTTAGAAAGCAGAGAAGTCATGCCTCAAAGGGCAGGATTTCTGTGTGTGCAGTGTCTAAATTCAGAGCATGACTGAGGCACAGAATTGAGGCTTGGGGTACTTTTGATGCCCTCATTATGAAAGCATATGAGTTGGATCTCTATGAAGACTCAGTACCTGGTGAGGAAAACATATGCTTGACACAAAACAGTTCTAGGATTAAATCTGAACTACATGATCCTTACATTTTTGAGGGCTACATTTTTTGTGTTTAGTAAATACTGAGTCCATTTTCTCAAGGGGATGCCAACTATGGCCCATGTATTATACCCAGCTTCCTATCTGTTTTAATAATTAGGATTTTATTGGCGTGCAGTCACAAGTAATTGTTCTCATGTCACCTCTGGACACTTTGGGGCTGCAGTAGTCATCAGGTGTTTGGGAGAGAGACACAACCAAGAATATTTACCACCTGGCTCTTTAGCAAAAGCTCACAGCCCGCTACTTTGTTTCATGAGATGGTTTTATGAATATAAGTAAAATAGTATTAAAGTTCACCAACCACATGAAAAAGCACCAGGAATATTGTAGGAATCAAAAAGTTAATTATATTGTTCTCCTTGCGAGGAGGGAGAGTGTGCCCAGAGAAACACATCGAGTCTTCATGTCAGGCGCTTTATCTGGCATCACTAAAGCATGACACATAGGGCCATCTCATGAACCCTGACTCCCAGCTTTCATGTGAGCCATCAGCCTGTAGATGCTCCATTTCCACTGCATGCAGTACACTATGCAAACTGAGCTGGCAGTCTGCATCCAAGGAAGATTAGGGTGTGGTTTTCCCCGAGAGGACTTCTAGGATGGATTAAAAGAACAGATTAAAGAAAAAAAAATTAAAACAGAAAATGCAGGGACACTAAGGAGGAATTTGTTTCCATTTAGCCAGGGGAATCTTCACCATAGAGAGGCTCTCCAACATTTGGATGGATGAATAGTATTCCTAGTAGGGCCATTGTCTTTTGAGATAAAGTAATCAGAGATGTACATGTGAAGGAGCCAATCCGATTTTAGGAACGAGGAAGGACACCAACCAGAAAGATGCAGCTAAATTAAAGCCGAACAATTAAAAGGAAAGTAAAACCAGGGCCAGATCTTGACCTTCAACAACAACATTGTAAGAACTGATCTCATCTAAGAATGAAAGTCAGCATTGCCTGAGTGGAAGAAATATTTCAGGGTGTCGTTGTTTCTCATCTCACAATAGATATGGGCTATTTGGAGCTTGGGATCATTCTTACTCACTTGTAGATTCTCCTCACTCTTCAACGAGCCTGTGTTGAGAACATTTTATTTATTTATTTATTTTGAGGGAAAACGTTTATTGGTACATTTTAGTTATGCAAATAATATCACTCATACAGAATTTGCACCTGTGCATGATATCTTCTGCCTTTTCTTTATTTTCCCATTTACCCTTCCCTTAAGCCCCCTCCCCTCTTTCTATCCAAAAGCTTTGTTTCCATTTTTTCCTTCTGTTTTCCCTTTTTTTCCTTCTCCCTTCCTTCCTTTCTCCCTCCCTCCTCCCTTGTTCCCTTCCCATTTGAACACTTTCTTCCCATTTCCCAACATCTCTTATACATTTTATTCCCTTATTCCTGTATTCCCACTTTTGGTTTCTCACCAGAGAAACAATGTGGTAAAATAAATAATAGGGAAAACAATGCTCATGCTTAAAGCAAACAGTAACAGACACATGCACACATTCTTATTTTTCCCCAAAGCGGCCTAGTTTCTTTCCAGAGTACCAGCTCACCTTGCAATAGCCGTACTCCTATGGTTCATTTCATCAGAAAGCCCTGGGCCTGTGTTTCAAAGGATCGACCCAGTGACTTGGTAGGTGTGCCTCATTCCACTGTGACCACATCTTCGATGGTTCCCTCTCTCTTTCAAAAGCTGTCCAGCTCTAGCTTGTCCAGCTCTGGCCCTTGGGACAATGCTCCTGACTGCTTATGGCAAAGGTCAATGAGCAACTAAATACATTCACGGATTCCATGGCCCCTCTATGGCGCTGCTGCTATTGCCCGGCATCTCATATGGTCCATATATTTCCGTACTTCACTTTGACACCTCTCCACGTGTCAGTGCACTAATGGTCACTAATCTGAACCATACACAGATTGCTTGTTGAGAGATGGGACTGAAGTTGACCTTATGCACTGGGTTGATGCGAGATGAGCTTTTCACTACTAATTTGACGAAGTTGAGCTGTATTTCTGTTTAGGACCTTGCACCATGTATTAACATAAGATACCCATATGATATTTATGTGAAGTTATCCATTGTTTCAGGAAAAATCAATTTAATATTATTTTACTTCCCCCATACCTATTAAAACTTTATCTATAATGAGAAATACTACGTATGCTTATTTCTTGAGCTAAATTCCCTGCCCTACATATGCTTATTTCTTAAAACATCTTTGAAAAGTGGTGACCATTTGAAAGTCTGTGGATTCCACATAGTATAATTTTAGGTATTCCAACACATTTTGAAGTTGGGGAAGATTGTGAACTTGAGCATAAAAGAGTATGGTGCTCCATCACCTTCTGTCTTAATAAACAAAGAGGGCCTGAAGAAGAATGAATAACATGATGGCATGAAATACCCTGGTTTGAATATTAGATTGGATCATTACTTTCGATCTGTAAGTTAGAATGTTGTGCTTTTTCATAGAAGAACAGCTGGGGAAAACTAGAAAAGGGGTGGCCCCGATACAGCCCCCTTTCCAAAGAAGACGGCCCACTCGCCTGATAGAGATTGGAGCTCCGTTCTACCAGGACAACCAACTGCAAGTCAAAGTCTACTGGAAAAAGACTGAAGGTACCTGCATGGTTTTGTGTAAATGTTATTGGCTTTAAGTAGCTTGGAGATGTAAAGATGTAGACACTTTTTTTAAAAAGTAAATGTTGTAGTGTTCCATTCTAAAATATCCTAATTTCCTTACAAAGTTCTAGAGCAGGACACTATGCTTTCAAATGAAAGGTGCCTATTTGCTACTCTAAGAAGTGGTTTTTTGCAGTCATAAATTATCACAAATGCACAAATTAAAGTTTAAATGGACTGAAATTTGTAACTTTGGTAAGTATCATTTTCTTTTAGAAACGTCCTCATGATTAAAATACTCATTAGGTATTTTTTTTTTTGTAAGTATCAAGCCATGGTGTTGATATTAGGTCATAACAAAGTACTTAAACACTTTTTCTTTTTCTTCTTTCCCCTCTCCCCCTTTTCCTTCCCCTTCTCTTCCCTTCCTTTTATAAAGAAATGCTTTTCTGTGTTGAAGTCTAAGTGGGTTGAACTTGGTTCTGGAGCTCTATCTCACATTTTGTTATTAGCAGCTGTCAAGCCCTGAATTTTTTCATTTCAAGGAAATTGGCTTTTCATTGTTTCTTTCCCAGAGTGCTAATCTTATGTCTAAAACACTTGCAATATATTTTTGGTCTGTAATTTTTGTTCTGAACTATTTTTTATTTTTTTTAAAAGCCCTATAATACCTAATTTGGTAAACTAAAAACATCACTTAGCATATTAACACCATTTCCTGGAAATAGCATTTGGGAGTTTCCCTTCAAAAATTTCCTATGCATGTATTTTCCACTGAGTTTGTTTTGTTTCGTTACATCTTGTTTTGTTTTATGGTACTGGAGGTTGAACCCAGGAATTTTGCACTGAGCTACATCCTTGGTCTTTTAAATCTTGAATCAGGGTCTCACTAAGTCCACTAAATTGCCCAGGCAGGGATCAAACTTGCAATCCTCCTGCCACAGCCTCCCAAAGTGCTGAGATTACAGGCCGTGCTACAGTGCCTGACTCACCGAGTTACTTTTTATCTATATGTGTGTGCATGAATATGTGTGTGTAAAACGTAAATGTACTTTTACCTATAGTGTTATATGAGCATTATATCATGCACTTTTCAAAAAATTTTCAAATTGCTAAATTGTATGTGTGTGTCCTAATACTATATTACATGTCATCATTCCAGGACAGTGAAATATTGAGCTTCCTTATAATTCTTATTTTATAATTAATGTTACAGTGAACATTTATCCGTGGGAGGGATTCTATTTGATTATTTATGTTTAGTATAAATTCATATTTGTTTTCTTTATTCTTAGCATATTTAATTTGCATTGCTGAAATATTGCTTAAGCATTTATAGGGTATAACAATTTTATTTTTATTGCTTCTACCAATTTTATTTTATTTATTTTTTTCTTTTAGTACCAGGTATCAAACTCTGATCCTTGCACTTGCAAGGCAGGCAGTGGAACCACTGAGCTAAATCCCTGGCCCTCTACCAATTTTTTTTTTTTTTTGGGGGGGGTACCGGGGATCGAACTCGGGATCTTGCACTTGCAAGTCAGGTGCCGGAACCACTGAGCTAAATCCCTGGCCCTCTACCAATTTTTTTTTTTTTTTGGGGGGGGTACCGGGGATCGAACTCGGGATCTTGCACTTGCAAGTCAGGTGCCGGAACCACTGAGCTAAATCCCCCGCCCCAAATTTTAAAAAGAGAAACAGAATAGGGAATTTTTAACAGTTCAGTTTTTAAAATCTCCTCCTCTTTTTGGAGTTCTGTTTCCTTCGGGCATTGATAGTTAATGAGGACTACAGCTGTGGGAGTGGTCCTTGTTCCAAAATTTTCTTTCTTCTTTCGAGGTGCTGAATCCTATTTTACAACTAAAGTGACATTGCCATTACAATGAATATATTTCATCTGTGTCATAATTTAATTAAATTAGAAATTTATTAAATGGAAATGCTGTGATTCCATATTCACATCAGAAATAATAATTTGCTTACACTTTCAGTTTCTCACATCAGAGAAACTATTCAGTATTTACACATGAGTGTCCTATTTATTTCACTTGAGAGGATGGCCTCAACATGCATCCATTTAGCTATAAATGTCTCTAGTTTCTCGTTCTTTGTGGCTGAGTAGTATTCCATTTTATTAAAAAAAACCCCACATCTTCTTTATCCACTTTCCAGTTGTTGGACACTTGGGCTGTTTCCAAGCTTTCTGTATTACAAACTGTGGTGTTATAAACATGGGTGCACATATATCACTGTGGTATGATTCTTTTAATTCTTTGGGGAAGATACCCAGCAGGGGAATAG